ATCAAATTCTAAAATATCATCACCATGAATAAATGACGGTAGTTCAAACATATCTTGAAAATGTCTTGAAAACTATTATGTACTCAAATGTTATATCTGCATCATGTATTAGTAAAGCAATAATGCTTTTTAAAAGTTAATACTTTCATTTGTGCGGTGTGGCTGCGAGCTTCTAAATTGTTAATTTTCCATTAGTATTAGACATAATCGCAAAATGTTAAATTATTATTCTTAAGCCAACTCAATGTCAAATTTACAGGAAATAAACGATTAACAGCGAAAACCCACGTATTTCCTCTTGTTTCGTTAGTCCCTGACTGAAACAACAGAAAAATCTTAACCGTCAGACTATTGAAATAAAGAACGACCATATACTTCGACTAGAGGATGTTTTAAAATTGTTTATTATTGTGCCTCAAGGTGAGCTTGTCGAGTTCAACAAATTTATTATTTTCACACTTTTTTAATATTTATGACGTTTAATAAAGATTTATAACACCAAACAATATTTATCGTGTGTGTAATTTACACTTCTTCACAATTACCCCGGGTCAAATTTGTCGGTTTTGAAAAACTGCATGAAGTTGTGACTTGTTTATGACAGTTCGGCTGTAACAGAAGGATACGAAGGCAATTGTGGATTGTACGATTAGACTGTTACGAACGAAGTAGCTACATGTTCGACACACAGTTGAAAATAGGGGACAGACTGACTTTAAGATGGGTCTCCTTACTTTAGCTATTAGCTCACAAGGTGGAGAAAAGTAGGACGTAAAACTCCATTCATTTCATTTCATTTTTTAATGAATTATCATGTATTCTTAATCATGCCATTATGTTCTTATTGCATATAATTAACAGTGTTAACCAATCATAAATGTCCATACAGTCTGGATAAACAAAAAAAAAGACTTTTAGACCTTTCTTGATCAGTCACTCATTGGAATTCTGCTTCTAATTCTTGTAGGTTTTTGTTGCTCCATTCTACTGTGTTCTACAATATTTGACATCTTTTGTAGATAGAAATATGAAAATAAATCCAATGCAAAGTTGACCTTATATAGATAGTGTATTTTGATGCAGACAAAATTGAATTTCACATAATGCGCTTGTAACAGTCATGTACACTGAAGTATACACAGCTTATGCACATGAGAAATTTGAAGAATTGTGAAAACATAAACATCTCCAACTCTTAACGCCGAGATTTGTATGTAAAATTTACCAAATGATTGATTATATTCAACTGAATAATGTACACAGTTTAAAACATGTAATCCCAACATAATTAAACTATTCATAAAACTGTCGTAATTTATGAAAGGGTGAGTGTTATACTCACCTTTTAAATCTTTTTTATTTTATTTTAATCCCGACAATAAGCATGTAGCCTTTATAAAAAAGGCCGTTGTCGGCGATGCAAATCGAAATTATAACCATGAACCACAAGGGCATTCGTTCACTATGTAAATAGATATAAAATTTTAAAGTGGGAGGGGAGAGGCATCGTCGGGCCAGCATCTTTTCTTGAGGGGACATGGTCACCGTAGAGGCGCCACTGGTTTGCCACTGTCGACTACCAGATTCAATTTTTAACAGAAAGAAGAACGCGAGCAACAAGTAAGATCTGGTGACTACTGTAATTTTGCAGTTGTCGGTGATCTCAGATTGTAACAGTTGCTAGAAGTCGTCGAATGTCGGTAGGTTTCGCATTCTGTCTTTAGCCCTTTTAAAAAATTAGTCGGTTAAAGTAATGCCAATAAAGCATAGTCATGTAGATCTAACCCCCGGTGACAGAGAGAGAGTATTTTTTGTTATAGGGTAAGACCTAACAACCAAGGTTATTATTATAGTTGAATGACCATTTGATACCGATGTTTAAAAGTCAAACTTCCTGCCCCGTGGGCCAGATGACTTTATCAACAAGATAATAATGTGATAATAATTTCAAGCTATAAAAATTACTGTAAATTACAATCATTATATTATTAAATTTCTAATAAATCTATATAATTTAATGATGAAAGAATGGACCACTATATGATTATTATAAATAAAAGGTTAATCTCCTTATCATTTCGTTTCCATATTTTATAGGGTATATAGCCGGTCCGAAATGCGCTGATAATTTCAATTAAGTCAAAAATACTTCTTCTGTAAATTACAGATTTGGTATCAGCTCAGGAATTTCAAAAAGCATAGGTATACTCATCTCCAGTCTAATCAAAATTAAACCAAACTTTCCTAGGTTTTCTTTTATTAGCTTTTATCTTTAATATAGCCACTTCTGTAAGGGGCTAACGACAGCCAAGTTAGACGTTCGCCAAATTAACCATTTTGACCTACCTCTATGACGTCTGCTTTAAGCTATCAAATGTCTACCCTCTGCAGCACTTAAGTTTAAGAGGACTGTCGTTAGACCCTGAAGTAGACGGCTTCATCATAGGATGACGCCAATATGATGTTGGCATGTAAGGTCATTTAAAAGCAGTATTCGCATTCTTGTCGTTAAACTGATGTAATCAGGATCTTTTTGAAACCCTTTAAAATTCTAATACTGATTATTAACACAAAAGTAATAACGGTATATTTAAAATAATAACTTTCGTGATCGTGAGAAATTGCAAGAGCACACAATAGTCTTTTATAACAAACAATTGAAATTCGAACAGTGATCTTCAAACAGACATTAGCAACTGGATAGTCAAATTTTGATAGGCTATTTCACTCCATTCAGAAGAATTTAAAGATATTAGGAAGATTTTCTGCATATTGGAAATTGAATATTCTCATCAATTTTGAACATTCTCTCTCTTAAATCTAAAATATAATTTCAATCTTTCGGGTTCACAATGTCTCCGGGGTGCAGATGAATGCAACCTTTAGGGCTATCTGAAAGAATACTACGTTTGGCCAATATCTCAGAATCAGAAACAAAGCCGTATCAGTAAATGTCTCTCAGCTATTTGGTGTCATAATGAGCGCGTTTCTTTAGTACTAAAATAACATCAACCCTCACTCCCTTGCGGACATTTACATCTACATAGGAATGATATATTTTGGCGATATAGCAGCTAGTCACGTTTGATCTTTTCTAATTTTATGGATTTTGTACAAAAAGATCTGAAAAGCGCTATAGTTACTGAATATCTTATCTTCAATTTCACACAATTCAACTAATTAAATTAATAAATATATTACATTCTAATGGTCTAATACACAAATCTTGAGCAAAGTTCTCGGCCCTGGGTGGGGGCATGGAGCCACACCACTGTATATATTGTACCTGTATTTGTCTTGGATTGTAGCCTACTTCCTCGGGAGTCAGACCAAAGATTAGATAGTCTTTATTCGCGCAGAGGTGAAAGGAATCACATTAGATCTAGATATTCTATCCATCTTCCCATCTTTTACTATTTACATACATGACTGACAATGCGACACCAAGCTGAATATACGATAGTTCAACAGTAAATAAACAAAACAAGAAAAAAGAGATTTTCTGATACAGTTTTCAATAGAGTTTATGATTCATAACGAACTATTTTAGGTACCCTGTTTTTCTTTAGCGATAATTCATATAGACGTATAAAGATATACATGTATTGCGTTTGAAATGGCACTCCTTAAAAAATTGTTCGTTTTACATTGAGTCAAACCCTAATTACCCATTGCACCAGCTAACCCAATCGACAATTAACTTTGTAAAACCAATAAAGCTTCTTAAATCAGGAAAACAAGATATTTTTTTACTTCAGTAATATCTGGAAACCCTTTTTTCCACAGTGCCATTGTTCCTTGTGAATTCATTTACATAAAATTACCCTTACTGATATCAACGCCATGTTGTGATCGGGTTTGGAAACGAACTATGGCCAGTCTGTTCCAAGTTATTTCAATTTGTTTGTGGGGAAAACGACAAATGCGACGAAATTGAAAGGCAATAATGAGAGCCAAATAAAAAGATTTTTGGTAATTCATACCATTGTTCATAAATCCGTCGGGAAAAGAATATGAAACTATGCCATAAAATCGAGAGGACTTGTCCGTTCTTGTTTTATAAAACGACCTGATTAGTCTAACGAAGGGTGTGATTATTCCCACACCTGGCGGTTTAGCAAGGTAATAATGTGAGAAAAGAAGCGGATAATCTGATTTCGTTATGTCATCTTACGATAATGACAGAGATTTTAACTTCCGTCTCTCTATATATCAGTGGCAAATATCTGACGAAACGTTCATACCACCAAATTCAAAAAGGTTCTGAATATATTTAATGAATTAAATTCAATTAATATAAAAAACCTCACAAAACAGTTAAGCCAAACTACAGTCATCAGAGGTTCTAAATAAGTGTTAGAAATTCTCTGTTAAATGTATGCCTTTAACTTCTCTGAGATCTTATCATACATTTTTTTTTTTATCAAAAATTGCAAAGAATTCGATCCCGATAACCTGACGAATATATTTGATCACAAGTGATGTGGTTGATACACAGGTTAATGGCAATATCAATCTGTTTAAATTATAAAAAAAAGATTCCAAAAAATGTTTAAAGAATTTTAAAAGAGTGTCTCAATATGTTTCCCAATGTTCATTGGTATATTATATTGCGAAATTTGTTTTGACTTTCAACAATAGAAAAATTACCAGTCACTCTTACAAAATTTACCATTGCAACCTTGTACCTAAATTTACGAAATATTACTATATTGGTGTCAACATGTGTTTCGAATAAAAACTTCATCACCAAACCATCTGGTTTAAAAGGGAAGTTTAAAATAAAAACACAACAGCACATAATCTTGGTTTAAAATTTGATATAACATTATCATTTGCTGCTGCAGAAGGTTCCACATGACAAGGGCAATAATTTGTGAAATAACATTATAACACATACATAATATTGGCTTGATTTTTAATTTAACATTATCATTTTGTGCTGATGGACCTTCCCAATGACAAGGGCAATAATTTGTGAAATAACATATACCACTTACCTGTGATTATGACCGTTTTGCCTCTCATATTGACTTTGCTGTTACAATGCACGGACCATCGAATGTACAGGCGGGTTAGAAATATTCCCAAAATGATCACAGAGACAATGGTAGTGCCTACAAATGCCGGATAGAAATCATCCACCGTTTCCTTGAATTCTTCCAAATTTTCATCCACTTCATCAATTTTTAAATTTTTTAAATGTTTGAGATGCTTTGTTGTTGACATTTTGGATATTCGTTTTCAAGAGGCTCAATCGCCTTTTTTGTTAATCAAAAATGTAGAGAGAGTTAAGGCCTATGAAAGCCGATTCCACCGTTCAACGTTCCTCAACGAAAAATTGTTCTTTTAACTGGCCCAAGCGAATGATTAATAAGAAACGAATAGGTAACTCGAAATGGCATTCTCGTTTATATGCGAATCACGTGACTTCATTTGACATTCAAGTATATATATAAATATATAAGTCAAGTTTTACACCTATATCATTAAACACGCGAATGCATTCATTTATCGATAAGTGTACTGATATCTACCGTGATATCATAGCTCTATACAACAAAAGAGAAAAAAACATTTCGGCGTTTATCTGCTATAGAATGATAAACATGTTTAGATTTTGACTTTAGAAGTTAAGCATCAAAAATCCATGTTTATAAATAGGAGTATTATTAAGATAAGTGGAGATTATACGAATATTATTAACATTAGTACACCAATAGTTAAAAGTACATCTACTGTTAGCTACTGTGAGTAATAACAGTGTAATGTACCGTAATCATGATTTATTTGGACAAAACTACCAGTTAGTTGAAGAGTAAAATAGCGTATAGCTTACTTTCCGAAAAAACTAGGCTGTAACTGAATAGAATTTCTTGACACATATCTCCATTTCTTTATAAACTAAACTGTAAATGGAATTTCTTGACGCATATCTCCATTTATTTATAAGCTGAACTGTAAATGGAATTTCTAGACGCATATCTCCATTTCTTCATAGACAGAACTGTAAATGGAATTTCTTGACGCATATCTCCATTTCTTTATAAACTAAACTGTAAATGGAATTTCTTGACGCATATCTCCATTTCTTTATAAGCTGAACTGTAAATGGAATTTCTTGACGCATATCTCCATTTCTTTATAAACTGAACTGTAAATGGAATTTCTTGACGCATATCTCCATTTCTTTATAAACTAAACTGTAAATGGAATTTCTTGACGCATATCTCTATTTCTTTATAAGCTGAACTGTAAATGGAATTTCTAGGCGCATATCTCCATTTCTTCATAGACAGAACTGTAAATGGAATTTCTTGACGCATATATCCATTTCTTTATAAACTAAACTATAAATGGAATTTCTTAACGCATATCTCCATTTCTTTATAAACTAAACTATAAATGGAATTTCTTGACGCATATCTCCATTTCTTTATAAACTGAACTGTAAATGGAATTTCTAGACGCATATCTCCATTTCTTTATAAACTGAACTGTAAATGGAATTTCTTGACGCATATCCCCATTTCTTTATAAACTGATCTGTAAATGGAATTTCTTGACGCATATCTCCGTTTCTTTATAAGCTAAACTGTAAATGGAATTTCTAGACGCATATCTCCATTTCTTCATAGACAGAACTGTAAATGGAATTTCTTAACGCATATCTCCATTTCTTTATAAACTACACTGTAAATGAAATTTCTTAACGCATATCTCCATTTCTTTATAAACTACACTGTAAATGGAATTTCTAGACGCATATCTTCATTTCTTTATAAACAGAACCATAAAGAATTTCTAGACGCATATCTTCATTTCTTTATAAACTGAACTGTAAATAGAATTTCTTGACACATATCTCCATATTTTTATAAACTGAACTTTAAATGAAATTTCTAGACGCATATCTCCATTTCTTTATAAACTGAACTGTAAATAAAATTTCTTGACGCATATCTCAATTTCTTTATAAACTGAACTGTAAATGGAATTTCTTGACGCATATCTCCATTTCTTTATAAACTAAACTGTAAATGGAATTTCTTGACGCATATCTCCATTTCTTTATAAACTGATCTGTAAATGGAATTTCTTGACGCATATCTCCGTTTCTTTATAAGCTAAACTGTAAATGGAATTTCTAGACGCATATCTCCATTTCTTCATAGACAGAACTGTAAATGGAATTTCTTAACGCATATCTCCATTTCTTTATAAACTGAACTGTAAATGGAATTTCTTGACACATATCTCCATTTCTTTATAAACTGAACTGTAAATGGAATTTCTTGACACATATCTCCATTTCTTTATAAACTACACTGTAAATGGAATTTCTAGACGCATATCTTCATTTCTTTATAAACAGAACCGTAAATAGAATTTCTTGACACATATCTCCATTTTTTTATAAACTGAACTTTAAATGAAATTTCTAGACGCATATCTCCATATTTTTATAAACTGAACTTTAAATGAAATTTCTAGACGCATATCTCCATTTCTTTATAAACTGAACTGTAAATAAAATTTCTTGACGCATATCTCAATTTCTTTATAAACTGAACTGTAAATGGAATTTCTTGACGCATATCTCCATTTCTTTATAAACTAAACTGTAAATGGAATTTCTTGACGCATATCTCCATTTCTTTATAAACTGATCTGTAAATGGAATTTCTTGACGCACATCTCAATTTCTTTAAAAAAATGAACTGTAAATGGAACTTCTTGGCGCATAAACTGAACTGGAAGTGGAATTTTCTTTCTTATAAAGAGAATTAGGACGAAATTGAGACAGGAGATATAAGATTATTGAGGAAATTTAAAAAGGTTGTATTTGTCAGTACGAATTTGTTGCAGAAATTGGATGGAAAAGTCTCAAGCAGAGTTTTGTGGGTTTGATAAAGAGTGGTGATTAGGTAGGCAGGAGAAGAAGTGCTTTACACATTAGAACAGGGTCCAGGGGGTATTGTCTTATCTTCAGAAGTAGGCTACTCGGTGTACCCCCGTGCCCCGTGCAGAGCTTCGAATTACAGTACTCCGAAGACTTATTATGGCTCGCAATTTTTTTTTCCTTATCCCGAACTGATATGATACTCGCTCTAAGGACAAAAATGTGATTTTAATATTTTTCATAAGTAGTCTAAATGGTCAAATGAACTGGTAGCGATTTCCTTCCCTTGAAGTAAAACATATAAAAACGTTACTATTTGAATTATAAATTTTGATTCGGTCGGTAGGAATTCAAAGTTGCAACGATCTGAACTGCACATTCATTCAGATTAAAAAAAAAAGAATATTGATTGCTGAATATAATGAAAACAGGGTTCAATTTAAAGGGATTGTAAAGAGGTTTGTATGTGTGTATGCTTGTAAATTTGTATGTGTATCGTGGACACTGATAGCATCAATTTGTACCATTTCAATTTTCAATCTGACATATGTGGTTCCACAAATAATATGTGTGAAGACGTCACTCATCGCAATATATTAAGCAGCATCACATAAGAACTTCGCGATAAGTGACGTCATAAAAAAGTTTTAAAGACATGAATATTTGACGGCTGGTTCAGCAATGACTAAATCAGAACATTAAGTTTACATGTCCTCAATATTAACTGGCTAGTTGATATAGACTAGGTTATCTATATCATACAATATTTACAGATATTAGATAATTGTAATAGGTAGTCACATAATATAAGTTCAGGAAATTAAATATATTCCTCAGATAATTCAATAAGTCGACGATAGATCGGTCGAGCATTGTTAATTTGAAAAAAAAAACATCGGTATTTGAAATTTTGAATCATTATTAAAGAAAAAAGTCTTCATTTTAATTCTTCGCAGTCAGCATTTCTGGCACCGGTATTTTCATCTCCGATGATTCAGTCTCATTCTCTCCTTCAACCATAGGGAACTACGCATGTTTGCTCTTCAAACCTAATAATCACCAGAATATAGTGTTGAAACCATCGTTCCCTTTACAGAATACTTTAATTCAATATCTAATTATGCAATTTTACATGACGTTAATTTCATTCTAATTATATCGTGTCATATGCATGAAAAACAACATGTTACATTATGTAAATGAATCAACATATCATAAATTTGGAAAGCTGTATGAGTAATCCGAAAGTCCTAACCGTAAAATGCAGATGTTGGTCACATACAGTCCGTAGAACTAAGATTGGGATTTTTAGGCATGCGGATAAGATGATACGGGCGAATTCAGGCCCATCCTGTCATCTGAACTGGCCAAAAGAAATGGTCAAATTGGGAAAAACTTAAAATTCGGAAAGCAAGTCGACAACAGCATGAATACAAACTGCATTTATCAGTCTCAAATTCAGCATTTTAGTTTCGGTTACTGTTGACTGCTTTCTCGTTGTTACCAGTGACATCTGACTTAATATTAATTATACGATATATAATAATCATATTGTATTTTGTTATATTCCCTACATGTCAGCCAATTACTGATCACATTCCAAGAAAAGTCAGCTAGTTTCGGACTAAACACTAATTGTCATTTTAAAACATTTTGTGGTGTTACTCAGTGCAATTTGTCTGAACCACCCAAATTGTACTCGGCGAAGTACATATATATTCGAGGCAGACGAAGCATTTGAAAAGTATTTTGTATTTATACCTTACACAGTTAATACAGACGAAGGAAAAGGTGGTGTCGCTCATGTTAAATTCTACTTTATGCATAAGTCGTATAATCTTTCATTCGCGAGAGACGCGAGACCGTATTTGCTTCTTGATAATCGGAGTATCGTTTGAGAAAAGGGCTTATCTAAATAATACCTGAGGGGTAGGGCGGATGAGAGGTGTCTCTCCGAAGCGGGGATTTCAGAAGGAAATGACTCTCCTATAAATAAGCTGCTGTTAATATGTTGTATATGTATAAATTTTTCATCAGGCGATGGAGCAAAAATTTCTTCCAAAAATCGTCTTTGAAATAAAAATTCGCCATGTCTCTGTAATTGATCCGATAAAATGATTTTAAAAGACACTCTTATTTGCATAAATGAATAATAAAACGACCTGTAATGATTAAATTGCAATAAAATAGATGAAATATTTTAAGGGAAATAACCACATTGAATATGCTTCTTTTGTTTCATTGCTTCTCTTCAGAATATTGCCTTACTAACATATTGGCTATTGCAAGAGAGGGGACATAACAACGTTAAGAATTATTTTCTTCAGACCTTCACTCTTACTCATAACCACTCATAACCACAGTGTTGTCTTGTTTCTACAATACAACTTTGGCTATAGACATTGAATTGAAATTCGAATTGCGATTGAAAAATTAGAATAAACAAGTCAGTTAAATGACAATTATAAACTCTTTTTCTTACAATTTCTTCGAATTCACAGACTGACATGGTCCAGTGTAACATTCAGCCCCTTTTCTCTTTTTCCTCTACCAGTGGCTCAACTCATGAATGGGGGCCTATGGACTTCGGTGGGTTGCATTTTTTCTTGATTGGAATCGAGGAACTGGACTTCGTCTAAAATTCAGAAGTCATAGATGGGTTTGACTAAAAAGTCCCGTGACGTTCAAGAATTGAAATTTATTGAAGATCATCGTAGGTAGCTTATTGTATTTATTCCATTTCTTTCAACCAATAACATCCATCCCTTTTTTCAATAATCATAATGATCCACTTTCATCCATCTTCATTATACTGAAAATATACTAAACTTTTACTATCACTTTGACTATTGACAAGAAATAGATTCATGGAAATGCCCGAAGATGGTGAAGGCAAACGAACAGTCTTGGTTGCCGATTTTTGTCGCCGACTCGAATCTTGAGTAAAATCTCACGCGTGCCCGCGCTTCCACGACAAGATTATAGCGTTGCCGAAAGGATTTATAATATCAAACCAGTTTGATATTTGTCGCTCATTGATTTGTAGTCTGCAAGACAGAGCGACATCATCCAATCATATTCATTTTCCTTTCAATTGCCTCATGTGACTATCGACATAGTGGAAAACGACCGCCTGGAGTTTTTTTGTTTCCTCATGCGCACACAGCCGGTTGGCGAAACTCATGGCAAGACTCAGCGACAAAAATCGTTCGCGTGCCCGTATAATGCAAATGCACAGTGTTAACTGTTATCTGCATTCGTGTGGCATGTCATTGGATACATTTTTTCCGGACATTGACAATCTCTGTACTCACGGGCCTGTATGAAGGCTATTATCTTTACCAGTACATAGATTTATAGGTGCAGTTACAGAATAACTTTTGAGATGAACTGGCACTTCCCACTGCTTTAACATCCTCGGAGGTAGGGCAGATAATATCTGCTCAAATTATCATCAACCTCATTTCTAGAGACATTAATGTCATCATCTGAACGATACATTTTCCACAGACGTTGGAAGGGGAAACATATAGAAGCTATAATAAGCGTCAAAAGAGGTTTGAATCCAATCAATACTGAAGATAATTAATTGAGTAGGCCTATATGCGACAAGGACATAAAAGTTACTTAATATTATTGGATTTTTAGGGGCAACAAGTTGGTACAAGAGTAGTCCGAAACATCTGCCTCCATTCCAGCCTCTGATGGATATTTTGACATTTGTCGGCTGGAGTAGAGTTAAGCTGTTTAATGGGCTTTTCCACACCCCCGAAGATGCGTCTTTTCTAGCATAATTTTAAATCACATATACCTATGACTGTAAATTAGTGTTGGGTATCACCGTAACTTTTGTTTTGTTAGTATCACGTGACTCTGTGACCTGTGAGCTTTGATGGAACCAGAGACATGATGTTGTTCGGAGAAAATGATGGTTTTAATAGTCATCTTTCCAAATTTGTCTGGGTTTTGCAGATCCGTGGTATCTAAATATGTTTAAAAAAAACCCTACTGAGACGCAGAAAGTTCCCATTTAACAGGGCTTACTTTTGTCTCTACACTAGCAGGCATCTGTCCAAATATCTATCAGAGGTTGGAAAGAGACAGATGTTTCGGTCTAGTACAAGAGGTGATATATAACCAACATCTGAATGTTAATACTTTCAATCATACTTTGTGGCAACCCTTAACAACAAATAATTGCATTAAACTTATACGAGAAATACCAAATAAGTCTATGTTTGCCACATTTCCTTGACATTTCTTTGGTATCTTGATATCTGTAGCACGATGGAAATCTTTCTATGTCTTAAGTTATAACTGTCTATTTATTACTCGATTGTTGCATTATTAATGGTACTTAGAAAGAACTATTATCTGCCAAACACGATATGTACACTGTCTCTTAAGTATTTTCATATAATATGGAATAACTGATTTCAGTCCACTAAGACGAAACTTGCAAATGTTTAATTATATTATATACATTACCTCCTTAATCCCATTAAGATTTAAATGAATAAATGAAGACTCCGATTTCCAGATTGTTTCAAATGATATATTGACTTTACTGTCATTATACTATTTTCTCCAGCCACACATTGGTGATTGTTGATCCGAATTTATATCAATTTTCACTCAAAGCAAATGCAATTTCCAAAAAATTTACAAATTCAGTAAGATTATATCGTCCAATTTAAATTCTTACACAAGATGATATGCCTCTTGAATGGCGGTAGAGCTTTATTTGTGTCTTAAGGTTTGGGTTGATAAGCGATTCAAAGAACATAGGATAGAATATGATTAGATAGCTTGCCACGCAAGGTGCTATACATCCACTTCGAATTGGCTACCGGTGTCTTTATGAACTAAAATATAAATTTTCTCATAAATATTCAGAAATTTATAATGCATTTAAAGTTCAATAACTTTGAATAGATGAATATCTCACCAATTTACAATTTATCGTTTTAACTCAATAGAAAGAACACAAATACATACATACAATCAATTGATATCATTACACTGTTCTGAAATATCCAATTTGAAAATCAAAGACAATTCCCAAGACTTAAAAAGGATAATTTTACAAGTTATTTTACAAAACATATCGTTCAAATCTTATAATTTTACAAATTAGTTAAATGCACTAAATTTGTTGGTGAACGGATGAACGAACAGACAGGGGAGGCGGCAATTATAAATTCATCCACATTCCAATGTAGATGTATAAAAAAGGTTTGAATCGTACAATTTGAGTTGTACTGTAGTAGGTACTGAGGTGTCATTGAATTTGAATTGTACTGTAGTAAATACTGGAGTGTCATTGAATTTGAGTTGTACTGTAGTAAATACTGAGGTCATTGAATTTGAGTTGTACTGTAGTAAATACTGAGATGTCATTGAATTTGAGTTGTACTGTATAAATACTGTAGTAAATCATTGAATTTCATTGTACTGTAGTTATACTGTAGTAAATACTGGAGTGTCATTGAATTTGAGTTGTCCTGTAGTAAATACAGAGATGTCATTGAATTTGAGTTGTCCTGTAGTAAATACTGAGATGTCATTGAATTTGAGTTGTCCTGTAGTAAATACAGAGATGTCATTGAATTTGAGTTGTCCTGTAGTAAATACAGAGATGTCATTGAATTTGAGTTGTACTGTAGTAAATACTGAGATGTCATTGAATTTGAGTTGTACTGTAGTAAATACTGAGGTCATTGAATTTGAGTTGTACTGTAGTAAATACAGAGATGTCATTGAATTTGAGTTGTACTGTAGTAAATACTGAGATGTCATTGAATTTGAGTTGTACTGTAGTAAATACTGAGATGTCATTGAATTTGAGTTGTACTGTAGTAAATACAGAGATGTCATTGAATTTGAGTTGTACTGTAGTAAATACTGAGATGTCATTGAATTTGAGTTGTACTGTAGTAAATACTGAGATGTCATTGAATTTGAGTTGTCCTGTAGTAAATACTGAGATGTCATTGAATTTGAGTTGTACTGTAGTAGATACTGAGATGTCATTGAATTTGAGTTGTACTGTAGTAAATACTGAGATGTCATTGAATTTGAGTTGTACTGTAGTAAATACTGAGATGTCATTGAATTTGAGTTGTACTGTAGTAGAATTTGAGTTGTACTGTAGTAAATACTGTAGTAAATACTGTAGTGTCATTGAATAATGAGTTATTGTATTTTGGTGCACTGTAGCAAATAATTAGGTATCACAGATAACTAGAGATGGACCCATGATCTTTATAAATATATGTAGCCTACTATGCTCTACATGATTCTCGCTGATATTCTCCTTTGTTCAATGTACTAAGATATTACCAGTCGATATGATCAATTACAAACGTACAATTGTTTCTTTAAAACAAAGAGGAAAAGATAATTCAATTTATCAAATCATGAATAAATAATGGGTTAGTGATATAAAGAGAATAAATAAACTAGAAATTTAACACAGTTATTAATCAAATGCACTATACTTTTTTAATGCCTCACTAATCTGAAGATTATTTGCATATTATATTCAAGACCCAAATCAACACCCCAAAAGTGCGAATCTGGAAAATTTTCTAATCTAGTAAAGGGGCGAATTAGGGCTGCAACGATTCACCGATGAATCGATGGACTGCGATTCTTTCCTTCTTATCGATGCATTGCGTTGTATAAAAATAATCGTGATGTATCGACACGATTATTTCTTAGCCCCCTTTAATAACAAATCACACAGAATCCTTTATTTCTGACTTTAAATTTTTTCAAAATTCTTTACTTCTAAATGTTCTCAAGTGCTTAATAGTGACAAACTTGATAGTAATTTCTACTATTTTTTCTCTTTCCTTCTCTAATAAATAAACGATAATTATCGCAATGAATCGTATCGTTGGATGAGTATCGTATAGTGTATCGAATCGTTGCAGCTAATGTATCTCACGATTTTGGTTGAGAAAGTAGAATTAATTTTAATTACGTCACTGCAAACAATTAAAAAACAAGATCGGGATGTTAAGTGCTTTTAGTAATGAAAGACGTTGTAAAACAAAATATCGTTCTTTTTTAAATATAAATATGTTTGCTTCGTGAAATAAATTCATTTCAACGATTAGACTTAAAATTTGAAAACACCGGTGTATTCTTCATATAACAGAGCCCAGCAATGAATATAGGCATTCTATATCAAGAAGATCAGTCGGATGTTCATAGTTCTAAATGGAACATTGTAGACTTGATTTTGATACTTGATCGACCCCAAATCTGATCCCGTGATGCACATATTACATGCAATAGATCTACAAGAGCACAATCTTTTCATATAACATCAATTAACATAAGATAACACACAAAAATCTTGATGAAACTGTAAATATAAGTATAAATATCGTCTGTTTCGTGTGCTTTAGATCAGCGGTCCTTTGCACAGAGTTGTGCTAAAACTGGACTTTAACATAAGGCATAGAACGACACACATTAGGCATAGAACGATATATATAAATTATTATAAGGCATACAATGATAGTTTTCATACATTTCCTGAGTGAGAAATTACCCTGAGTAGCAAACCACAAACATCCCCACTATGAGAACGAATTGCAATTTTATATTTATGCAGTATTTTATTTATTAAAATTAGATCAAACTTTCATTCTGTTTTTGTTAGCTTTTATTTTTATTGTAGCCACCCCAGATAGGGTCTAAAGACGTGAACACAATCTGTTTTATGACGCCGCCAGTCAATCATCAATTTGTACCGGTCAGAGTCTCAGATGTGGATGTGCGAGAAAAAGATTTCCGTTCCCTTTCAATTGAAGGATGTTTCTCTCTCCTATTGCAAGGAAGGCAAGAACTCAATCCAGACCGTTTTGGACTAGCGAGGTTTTCGATCGTTAACAACAAAAGTGATAAGAATAGGCCTATAGTAATGACATAGAAGGCACTTTGGAGGGACAAAAGATCTACAGCTTTTACTTGAGTATATGATGAAACGGAACATCTTGTAGAGTTAGGTTTAGGCCACCATTGTTCTTTCCACACATGTAGTAATCCACTTTCATAAATCTTCATTAGTCTAAAATGGTGAGAGAAAAGGTGAAATGGGCTTTAAATTATTTCAAATGGTTTAATATTTTAGAAGAGAGATCTTTAAATCTCAGTATTTCGCACAGCTTTAATATCAAAGAGCAGAACACAATTCATTTTCAAATCAAATCCTTAGCTATATTTAGTTAACATATTCTAAATTTGCAAATTAATTTCCTCTTTTCAGATTTATCTTAATGATCCGATCTTTGATTTGTATTTTTACTTGTTTTTGCCTCTTATTTAGAGACCTATTTCAATTATTTGTCAACATATAAATCATTCTTCCCACAAAACCAGTCATGGACAAGAGCTAAATTCAGACCATATCATTCTCCAAATGTAGAGGGGGCAGGGGTAGGGAGGGAGGGGGGACTATGAATAGCTACAGAGGAAAGGTTAATCTAATATCAGATTTTTCTGCTATAGCTTGCTATAAAAAGTGAGTTGTATAAAGGTCACGGGGGATTTAGACCTAGACAAATTCGTCACATACTGCATTGAGCACAAAATTGTCAAAAATGAAAAAATTCGCATGGTAAATTGGCAACAGTAATATGGTTATGGTAATTTTGTCACGATGACGTTGGTTCAACTGCAAGTGGGCTGATTTGAGTACAATATAATTAAATTAGATTACATTTTCGTTTTAATTTTGGTCGGTCTCCATATTGTAATCTAAATAGATTTATAAGAAGGTTGCGTTCTGTTGACGTTCATTTAAACCAATCACAACGCGTCATGCAGAATCCATTCTAATTATCGATTTGGGCGAAACCCAAGATAGAGCGATATGGCCAATGAGATTATAATACTTTCGATAGATGCACGAAATTGTAATCTAATTATAATTAGATTGTTCAAATTACCGTTACCAATTTGTCTGTGTCCAATATTTCAGATTCTTAAAATAAAAGTTAAATTCGTACCTCTCTGTAAATATCAAAGTAAATGCTGAATTATTGGGTAATCCAAGACCAAATGACATCGGGAAGAAATTCTCATTGATGGTCACTATGTCACAGTGATCTTTTTGCCACAGTTCCATCGGTGTATATTCTCCTAGATAGGCATATGACTCTTCCAGTACTAGATCTAGATGGTCGTCAGCATTCAAACTAAGAACTCTGGGATCAGTTTTATTAAATTCCACAATTCCATCCCATATCTTCTTATAATCTTCTCTTTTGGAATTCTATGAAAATTATTTTTTGACTATCTTCACCTGATTTAACAAAATTCATATTCCACCAAACCCAACATGCCTTACGTTTTACAAGTTGCTAGGAATTGGCCTTTAAGCAATATCTTTGTCTTAACTACCGAATCATGTCCTATGGTAATCTTATGGGATCTCTGGGCCCTACTATTGTCGACATCTGTCTTTAAAATTAAATCAAACGTTATCGTATATTAAATGGCATTTTATTCTTTCCTATTTTTCAATGAATTTCCACCAAAGGTGGGAACTTATGTAATAAGATACTAAAACAACCATTATGCAATCGAATACAACATTTTAAAAAACTAAGAACAAATTTTACCTTGAATAAATCCATATAAACAGTTCCGCCAAGGATACCCCATTTGTAATCGTGATCTTCAATCATTTGATACAGACTAGAGATAGGTGGCTTGTCTTTACTGACGGTCAAAAATGCTATTAAATTACCACTGTACGTAGCTGCCATTATAATACAAAATATCCACCAACATCCAATAAGAATTCGACCAGATGTTGATTTCGTCACGGGCTGACCACCTAGGTGAAAAAAGAAGCTAAAAACTGAAGCTATAGGTAGCCATTTTGGGTAGCAAAAATCAGAGGTCATGAGAGATGGCATTGTAATAGCAAAATAATAAGTTTTGTACCAGTGATATCGAGCCAGATTGACAACGACATCTTCGCCATTTTGACAATTCCGTGAGTAGTTTTGTTTTGAAGCGCTGTTATCACACCGAGCACAAAACTTTGTAGATCGTCAAAGAAGTCAAGATGTGGTGTTATGTGTACTTCAAACGTAATGAAATATTTCAAGCAAAAAGGACCATAAAGCAATGAAATTACCTACCATGTGATAGTAATGCACCCCATAAATAACAAATCTTGGCTTGAACTTGTGTTGATAAATATCGTTTATTACTTCCAATTGTTTGATAATAAGGATTGGTTCTTTCCATGACGGTCAAAATCATAGAAACACTCATGAAAGATATTGTCAAACACAGGAGCACTTGCCAAGACAATGGTTGTAATAACCGCTTCCATTTTGTTGAGTTTGGATCTGGCATCTTCAGACCTATACCAGACTTCTCATAGAAAAAAGGTGTGGTAAAATCCATAACTTCCTCTCGATCTGGTGATATTGAAATAGGTGCCACGACCAAATCTACTGTCTGAAAGGAAACGGTTTTCAATGAATATGAAAATTAAGTTCATATCATACCACCTATACAAAAAGGTCTGTCGTGTGATCTTGGTATGCAAAGTGTTACTTAATGATGGATACGACATCCGGGTTTGAATGAATCTGATAATCAAGCTGATATCATAACACCTATATAAAAGAATATGGCAATTTGAGTGTAAAATGTTACTTCAGCGAGGTAGATGCGACATCACTCACACCCAGATCAATTAAGGTTTATCTCACCTTTCTAACCAAATCTCCTATTAATCCTGTCCATTGATCGTCTTTTATTCTTCCCCATTCTTTATCATCTGGTTCTCGTAATATATAACTGAAATCATACATAGCAATTAGTAATACCAGTAGGGGATGGCATTGTGCCCATATCATTTTGCCGCAAATTAACAGGTTATATTGAACACACCCGCTACATTCATGTCACAATTACTAAATCAACAAAAACAAACAAACAACCATTTCTTACAATAAATAAGGTTCATGAGGATCCTGTTTACCAAATGTTCATTTGCATTAATCTATATGAAATTTCAGTCAACTGAAATAATTACTTATTTCATGTCACCGGACTTTCACACACTGATCGAGATTAGAGTCCACGACCACTACACTGTGTGAATATCAAGAAAATGTATCTCGCATGAGTGTTTAAGATTAATATTTAAAAAATGACTACCTGAAGTTCAAATCACTGGCTAGTTCTTTCAGAATTTCCATACAAAATCCAGAATATTGAGCTGTTTGATTTATGGTAGTTTTCATCACGAAGGGCGCCCACTGAAAAAGACGAGTCAATTTTACGTCGACATGCTAATCCATACTTGTTTGCTAAAAAAATGGACAATATATTCAAGCAATCTGATCTTAGCTTTACAGAAAAAACCGAAAATTTATAGCAACTTACGGGATTAGTAGAAACTAAGATTGTCTTGTTGTTGAAACCATATTTTCTGTTGGGAAATATATCATCTTCCATATCGACTAGACCATTCTTTGACATATATCCAATATGACGTAACTCTCGTCTGCGATCTGGACCCCAAGTAAGTGTTGATATTGAAATCTGTTTCTGATCAATTATATTACCCAAATACTGAAAATATATTGTCATTTTCTTCAAATGTGGGTTGACGCTTCATTATGTCATATCAGAATGATTGAATGAATCCTTTGCGCAAGCTAAAGTGCAAATTGGAGTTGAATTAGTACAAGCATCACTATTGTACATGGCGTTTCCCGTAGCCCAAGAAGTTTGGAAAGTAATGGACCATGTATATACAGCAGGGGTGTATACTGCCAGTTAACTTGGGTGTTTCGCTTTTAAAATATTCGGAACTTTTTGTCAAATGCATTTTGAACCACAAATGAACGGAATGTTCACTTTCTAAGAGTGGGAAGCTACTGAAGGGCAACACGACACCTTGGTCAAAATAAGCTTATTTGAAAAACAGAATTTCATGCAATTATTCATTGTATCTTTTGTAGACATCGTTGTGTATCCACCTTACCTTATGGAGATAATCCACAATGAGCAATCGGTTTTCTTCTTGTGTCTTTGTGTAACATGGGTCATTTTCTTGACAATCTCTCTCAAAAATTTTCAAAACGTACATCATTTCGTTCATAAATTTCTGAAATGATCAATGTTCACTACAATAGTAAATCTAGCGGAAAAATTAAATGATAAAACATGCAAATTCTACTTATAGTTTCGTAAAATAGAAATTTGCAAAATGTATTTTGTGTGTCAAAACTGCACTTTTACATAATCTTCTCCCCCACAACTCCCACCACCCCCCTTTAGAAAATCCCTGTTTGCTGAACTGTTCTCAGGTTGAGATAATTTTTGTCTTTGAAATTTGCAGGGAAACAGACTTTTACTTGTTCAAAGAGGGTTCGTTGATCTCTTTCACTTAATTTTTAATGATCAATAATTGAAACTGAATAACTGATGAATTCAATAATAACGATACATATATTAGTCGTTATCGAGCCCAATTATTATGATCAATTCTTCGTTTACTGATATTCGAGTTTCAGACAAAATAGATGCGAATGGCTGTTCGGTGGTGTAAAATTAACACGCTAGAATATTATACGGAAACATAGTCGAGAAGGAGCGAGCAATAAATACAATACCTGTATAGGATTATGTTCTATTGTTGAATAACTAAATTCTTTAAATAAAGCAACATTGTCCATCAATAATGGAATGTCTTCTAATTCACAGCGATTAATTAGTGGAGAGGCAATTAACCAATTAGAATGATGGTAAAACGCAGTCTGTCTGCCATAAACATCGTCAAAACCATTCGCCTGTATATAAAAATGAGATACTCATTAAGCAAAACGAGTTGAAATGGTCATAAATAGTTTACTATTTACTATATATAGATGTAATTTGAAAATAACATGCTACCAGAAATAACTTCATTTTTTAAAGAAAAAGAACTGTAGGCTGTAGCTTTAACGAGTTACAAATGCTGGATTTGTTATTTACCAGATCATCAGAATGGATTTTTTTTTAAAACTAATATCAGTACTTAATAAAATAATCAATTAAGTCCTAACATTAACCAAAATCATAATCGGAGGTCAGTGGCAACGAACAGACATCCAGTCCACAATGCTTTTTCAAAGAAAGTATGAACAATTTTGATCTGTGTCCAACTGCGAGCAGAGGTGACACTACAGCTGTACCATATTTTTTTTCAAATTATATACGTTTCATTAACCACCATAGTCAGTGAGTTTAGTCAGTGAGTTAATTCGCAAGCAGAGATTTGAAATGTAATTACACAAATTGCAATATCAAAGAAAGCTAATGGTCGAAAAATAAACAGGATTATATCTAATGAAATGAAATGTTACCGCTCTCAAGATATTTGAAGTACATTCTCTAGAACAGATTAGAACAATATTGAACTTGGATTCATCTTTTCTACGTATCATATAGAATTCATGCAGCTTGTAGACAATATCTTCACAGTAGATATCTTCATACTTCATCAAACCAGACTTTATGCCTTTCTCAGACAACTGTAATTGGAGACTGGAAACTCGGGCTTCTATAATGGAAAAATTTGGGTCATGGACTTTCAATATCCTTTTTCAGAATTGATAACTCTAATCGTTAGATGTCATGTCAACGACAGAAATTCACTAAATAGGAAGAATCCAAATAAGTTGTTTACAATATAAGATAGTTTAAGAGCAAACACTTGTGATCATTACATAGAGTTGGACGCGTGCTTGCCAACCCCATGTTTTAAGGCTTCGATTCTGGAATAGATCTAGACAAATCACTGCTTCGGACAAAATCTCTACACACTATTTCTTTTTGTTTTTGATACAACAAATAATTCAACTTACCAGAAAACTGGTCATAGATGAAAATCAAGGATGACCATTGTAGATAATGTATTGCCGTGGTCAAACCAGAGATATCGATACTAGATACAAAATAATCACCAGAACAATTGTTGTTTCTACTAGGTATATAGGTCGGTGATTTCAGACATTTTGTAAAAGATTTTTCTTCTTCTCTAACATTTACTTGATTCAAGAGAATCTGTGGTGTTTTGATATTTTTGATTCGCGCCTCGGCTAGATGTGACAGCGTATATAAATAAATATCTACACTGCTATTTGAGCGTTCTGTAAGTAAAAATGCTGATCCGTTAACGTTTTCCAACAATGCTGTTCTTGGATCTCATACATGTGTTCAGCAATCAAGTTATCAGATCACAAGAGTAAGGATACGGTTGTGAATATTGTCAAAATTGTTAAAATAAAACAGTTCAATTTCTTAACAACCAGTTATCGTACTACTGTACAAATGTTGTCTACTTATAGAACTCGAGAAACATATCCAACCATCGATTATGAGCTTAAAGTGTTTGGCATTCTTTCATTTTTCAGTTGAAGATTTGTTAAATTAAAGCCTGTCAATTTTTTGACAACCAGTTGTTTAGGATAGATGAAGATTTAATAATCGCCCTACTCCACAATGTTAAATCCATGTAATCAATTTACCTGCTTGATGTAAACTTTTGTGGTGACAATGGCTGCTCTCTGATGCCATACATATCTGACCCACTTTTGATACGTTGAATAACAACCTCGTTGCGGAGTAATCATTTCCTGCACAGACACCTGAAAAGAGTTTATAATATGTAGCTATTACAGATTCATTTCAATTTATTATCGAGTGGATGATTACGACTTATACACATGTTTCAACACTGAATCCTTAGAGACGGGAACTATTTTGCTTAGCTAACCAGTAATAGTGTTCACAGCTATCCATAATTATCCGCGTTTGAAAGTTACATTGACGACTTGTCTTCTCTAGATACCTCGGTCCACCATGTTAAGGAGCAGTTATGTTCGTGTATGGATTTCGATATAACTTCCAAGTTGCGATATATTAAAAGGGATTATGCGATTTTGGCCTTAAAAACTTGAAAACAAATGATTACTTTCATAACTAATCATCATAAATCTCACATAGGCCTTTGTTTTCTTTTCTGATCAAGTGAAGTCGATGAAAACTTTCTTTTGTTCGCTTGCTTATAGATTAAATTATATTCATAGTACAATTGATACGTTTTATTAAGTTAAAATTGAGCTTGAAATAGTTGGCATTCTGCATTTAAAATCGATTAATAGGAAAAATATCAGAGGTAATGTATTGGTATTGGATTAATAAATTCAGTATTGTTCAAGTGGTTGCGAAAACAAGGGATGGATGATGCAAACAACAAAAGAGCAATTTTTTGTTAGTGAAAAAAAACCTTCATAAATGTAATAACGTCAATCAAAGCCTCAAGGAAATGATTAAAGGTCTTGTGATGGTTTTGTGGGGCAAATGACGATAATGAAGATCAAAGAAGGATACGGGGATATTGATGAGGATGTTTAACAGTTTGACCGCAGGAAACTGATTTTATTCTGAGTACAGTTCTATTAAATGAAAGTATTATGCAA